TAATTAAGAACAAAAAAGATCAGACCAAGTAAAACTTTAATGGTTTTATTGATCACAAGAACATGTTTTTAATAGAAAGCGAAGAAGGACTAAGTGTTCCTTTAAAAAAAAAGCTTTCAAGCAAATTTGGGTTTGGGTATGTTAAATTGTGAAGAATGGTACAATACTGACTTTCCTCCCTTGCGTCAGAGTAGGGGGTGCTTCAGAAAAGCCCAGGAGGGGCTCTGTTTGCCCAAAGGAGCCCTCATTTGGAACCTCCTGCCCCCACTGCAGGAGGGTGCTTGGCGTGGAATCTCCTAACAATTTGTGGGACCTCCCAGCATTCTGCGATTGGAGCAGGCCTCATGGCAGCCATTTAACTAAAAATATTGCAAGGCTGCATCTATATGCAACACACACACCCCATCAATGCTTTGCTCAATGGAAATTTTGGTGACATTTCTGCCCTTGCAAAATGCACTCCTTTGCTTTCAAGTAATTTCCCACACTCCTCTGTGAAAGGGTGCAAAAATTATTTACAAAACAGAAGAACTTTGTTGTGCACAGGTGATTTACTAGGCCAGATGGGAATACACATGAATTCGGGGGAAAGAAGGAACTGCTCCATAGCACCAGAAAGCAACTAAACTTCCAGCGCAGCACAGCAAAGACCATCAGCATCAGCCCAACTGCCTCCGCTGCAGGAATATGTTCCCTCTTTCTGGTCCCTTCAAATAAAGGCAGCGGGAAAACTTTGCTTGACCTTGAGGACATCACAGAACCAAATCTGATTACCTATGAGGCACTGCGATGCCATTTTGCATTAACTCCATAGTCTCTGACTGGATATGATCCTGCAATGAAAAAGCCCTCTCACATTTATTTTTTTTATTTTTAAAAAAGAGTCCAATAGACGGGCATTGTAAAAAATACAAAAAAAGTAGAAAGTCCCCCCTAGCCCCAGACACTATACCTGCCTCCCGACTGAAAAAGTGGTTTTCACATTAAAAAAAAAAATAAGCCTCATGAAACTTTGGCACAGCCTTACTCCGATCACGGAGCCAAAGTTCACAGTGTGGTAGCCAAAAGAGTTTGCAAAATTCTATAATTATAGAAGGCTACAGCATCAAAACAGTCCCAAAAGATCGCTTGCTTCACTGTAGCTAACTTCACTCTGCATATCTTAAGCCTGTAGAAGCCTTACAGCTTTTAAACAAATTCCCCAAGACAGGGACACAGTGGCCCAATCTGCATCTAGCATTTGCTCTGCTGTTTTACCAAGCCCACACTGGAACAGAAAAGATGCCCCTCAAAACCTCATTCAAATACCCTGGGCCAATGCCTACTGACTGCAGACTCACCCCTGAATGGCCATAAAACGGCCATAAATCTACGCAGATGGCTACCATAAAACTGAGAGATCAAACTAAGTGAAAGCAGTCTGGACACTGCCATAACATTCGACAATCAATCAAAGTGAAAGTGGCATGCAATGTAGAGGGGAATTTCTGTTCCAGCGTGGGTTTGGTAAGACAGCAGAGCAAATGCTAGATGCAGATTGGGCCATTGTTTGGTAGCCAGAGTGGATTCAGTCCATGATACCATATATCATCTTCCCAGCATCGTGCAAAGGACATTGGAAAAAAGCAATTTAAGCGTGACTGAAAAACAAATGTTAAGTTACGCAAGAAAGACAATAGGAAGGCTCAAGTGAAAAGTTAGCAGCGCTTTCAGGAGAACTGTAGAAAGCTGTTTTTCTCTGTGTGAGGACTCTGATTTCCTCCCATTACAACCAGAAACATTCTTAGGAAAATGGCACACTCTTGGATAACAAGAAAAGTTTGATCTTAGAAATAGCTAAAAATTATGCCTTTAGCAAAGATTGCTAACAAGAAATGCTTTTAAAAGAATTTATTTTTAAGAGCCTTGTCTATACCAGGCTATTAGGAAATGTCACTGTTAAATGTAAGATGTCGTTTTTCTTATTCGATTTCAGGGCAATCCTAAACTGAATTACATCATTTTAAGTGCACTGACTTCAACAGACTTAGAAAGGTTGTAACTCTGCTTAGGATTGCACTGTTAGTAATAGAACTGACTGAAATAAGAGTAGGCCGAATTGCACTGAATTCTATTCTCCTTGCATAATAAGAAGGCACGACCTGTTCTAGGCTCTTTGCCAGGCCACTGCCACTCTGTGAAAAAGCAGCAGCAGTGGGGAGGTGGGAAACAACACAATCTTTTGCAGAGTACAGAAAGACAGGAGAGTTGGTAAGGTAATCTGCTTTTAAGAACCTTTAACCCAGAGATTATCCAGCTATGACTGCAGTTTAATGACACTGATTAAAATCAAAATGAGCCACCACTATGGAGCTAAATGATTTTCACACTTGATGCTGAAAGAATGAGTCAGGGAAGCTCTACTTGTGCGTTGTAATGGTGCTCTTCTGCCTGCTCCTCTCCACCTCTCAAGGTGTCCAGTGGGGCGCCATAGAGCTCAGTTCTGGGCCCGGTACTTTTCAATATTTTTATAAATGATCTGGATGAGGATGTGGAGGGGCTACTCATTAAATTTGCAGATGACACCAAACTGGGAGGAGCAGCAAACACCCCAGAAGATAGAGATAGAATTCAATGAGATCTGAACACGCTGCGGATGTGAACAAGAGGCAAATTAACAAGGATAAGTGCCAAGTTCTACGTAACAAAGAGTAACAAAAATGAGGAACATGCATACTGGATGGGGCACTGGATACTGGATGCTTCTGGGTAGCAGTGTGTGTGAACAAGATCTTGGAGTATGGGTGGACTGTAACTTAAATATGAGCAGCCAATGTGATGTGGCGACAAAAAAGGCTAATGCAATCTTGGGGTGTATCAACAGAGGCATAACATCCAAATCGCGAGATGTGATAGTCCCACTGTACACGGCATTGGTGAGGCCACACAGAGTATTGTGTGCAGTTCTGGAGGCCTCACTTCAAAAAAGATGTGGACAGAATGGAGTGGGTGCAGAGGAGAGCAACGAGGATGATCGGGTGGCTGGAGACCAAGCCCTACGAGGAAAGGCTGAGGGACTTGGGAATGTTTAGTTTGGAGAAGAGGAGGCTGAGGGGGGACATGATTGCTCTCTTTAAGTATCTGAAGGGCTGTCACTTAGAGGAGGGCAGGGAGCTGTTCCTTTTGGCAGCAGAGGATAGGACTCACACTAATGGGTTTAAATTAAGGACGGGAAGGTACTGGCTTGATATTAGGAAAAACTTTTTTTACAGCAAGGGTTATTCAGCAGTGGAATCAGCTACCTAGGGCAGTGCCTCACTGGCAGTCTTTAAGCAGCGGCTGGACAAACACATGTCAGGGATGCTCTAGGCTGATCCTGCATTGAGCAGGGGGTTAGACAAGATGGCCTGTATGGCCCCTTCCAACTCTGTGATTCTATGACTGTTAACTGTTTGGGGCACAGTAAGTCTCCCTTGCTCCCCTCCTGTCCAGCTGTAGTGTGGAATCCCTTGGAGAAAAGAGGGAGGGGCTTGATACAGTTGGTGCCCTCTGTAGCTGTAAGAAGAACACTGTAGTCATGCTGCTTCTCTTAGTTGTTTGGGAACAGGAATGAGATCTACAACTAGAGGTCATTTCGGGGGGGATCGCAGTTCCCCTGGGTGAGGTATGGGGGCAGGGCACATGACGAAGCCCCGCCCCCTGCTTCCGGCCCTCATTCAGCCAGGAGGAGGCAGGAGAAGAGGGAGGGTAAGTTGCTTCCTCCCTGCCTCTCCCCACCCCTGCCTGCCTGGGGCCAGGGAGGGCCTTCGTGGGGCTTCCTTGCACTCCCGCTGGCCTTGCAGGTCCACCACCGGGCCCCTCATGGGGCTTGGCAGTGGAGCTGCAAGGCCGGCGCCGGCGGCCAGGACCGTTGGGGGCGGGGTGTATGGCCTTATGACACACTTCCGGTGATGTCAGGGGGTGTGGCCTTATGACACACTTCCGGTGATGTCAGGGGGTGTGGCATATGCTAATGAGTTATGCTAATGAGTTCCCCTAGCTCTTTTTCTATGAAATGACCCCTGTCTACAACTGGTTTCCCCCCAACCCCACTGAACAGCACAGCCAGGCACATAGTGCCTTTAAGAAAGCTCTATTCACATAGCCCCACCTGTTACATGCCTGGGATCAAGCCCTCATTTGAAGCAAGCACTCTAGAACAGTGTTCCCTCTAAGCTGAGTTAGTGTGAGCTAGCTCACAGTTTTTTAGCCTCCAGCTCACACATTTTTGTCTTAGCTCAGGAAGGATGGCTCCAGAGCAGACTAATGTATGCAGCAGCCAAATTGCTCGCTCACAACGTTAATCCCAGTAGCTCACAAAGTAGAATTTTTGCTCACAAGACTCCACATCTTAGAGGGAACATTGCTCTAGAAAGGTCTATATAGGGGTGTGACAGACTATCAAGAGTTAACGCCTCACAGAATCTGAGAACCTTTGAGTGACAGGCTGTTCAAACTGAATTCTGTGAAGAGCATCAGTCAAGAAATGACAGTTGGGAACTGACAGCTGAAAAAGAGACAGAGGCTGAAGGAGTGAGTGGATCACAGTAGATCCCCATTCAAGCTGAAAAGGGACAGAGCTTCTAAAGAGAAGTAATCCTTGCCCAGTGGAAAGGGAAACAGCTCTAAAATGATGAGTGATATCTGGTCTGTGTAGAGAGAAGGATTTGGGAAAGTTGGCTGTACATTCCCACCTTCTAAATGTGATGTGCCAGTGAAACTAAAAAACCTATGCTTGAGTTAAAGCAGAAACTGAAAAGAAAGCTTCTCTCCTCAAAGTTTCAAAGACCTTGTGGAAAAGCAAAAATACTTACTTGTTGGCAACATATTATTTGGATTTAGTGTGATTACAAAGTTACCTCAGTTTTTATCTGTTCACCTCATACATCCTACCCCAAATTCCACCTGACCTTTTCTCCTACAAGTTAAATAGAACATTTTGTTTATTTTAAACTTCCAAAAGCCTCTCGTCTGCCATTTCAGTAGAAGATAAGATGGTGGTTTTGTCTTTTCCCTCAAGTTGTTGGGCTACACCAGCACCAAAATATATAATAATCTGATGGAAGGACAGCCATAGATCAACTTACAAGAAGAAAACAGATACAGGGGCTGCTCAGCCAGCAAGAAAGAAAATCCTGTGTGTGAGGGAGGGGTGAGATTCCCATAAGGGACAAGGCACATGTATGAACACAACGTAGAACACAAACTAAGCAAAAAATACACTACAAAGGTCTCAAATGTTTAGAGCTTTTAAAAAAGCTTAAGTACCCCAAGAGAATGACAGTGTTTGTAAATAACTTCTGACATCAGTGCGTTATTAAGGGTGGTCTTTATTTTCCTCCATGGACCTGAAGGCAGCAAGTCATAAGCAGCCTTCCATGTAGGATGTCATGTCCTTTCTAGACAAAAGGGACATGTAATTTAAGTCTCAATCCAATCGTACTGCAAATATCCAACATTTCTTCCTTGCTGCTTCCTTGTTAAAATCATAGTAGTTCTTGCATTTCTGACTGGAGAAAAAAAGCCAGAAACATGCCAATTCACCTTGATTGCAATGCAGGTTAGATTTAGCCATTTCAGAACTGCAGGTGGCAGATGACGCTGACTCTTTTTCATGTGGCAAAGTCCATGATGGGCAAGTTACAGCTCACAGGATAACGCTCTGTGAAATACAGTGCCAATAAGGAGCTTCTTGCCATACACTGTGGCAACTGAGCTTCCCTGAATGACTGACCCATCATCATCAACATACACTTGGCTGACTGTAGGCTTCTCGGAAAGGATGTCCTGAATGCGAAGGACCTTAAAGGAAGCAAGAATTAGCATTAGTTTAGCATCCCCTTTCAACAAAATCTGTGCTACTGCTTCACAACCATGAAGATCCTCCAGACTTGGAAGTCAAAGGCCTTCTAGATCTCTTCAGGAAGAGAATTTTTTTTTAATGCACTTATGAGTTGTTCTTTTTTAAAAGGACTTTAAAGAAAAAAGGAGCAACTTACAAATAGGGCTGCACCATGATGAAAGGGTTCAGAAAGATGCTTTCATAAAGGGATATGGACTGTAGACTTTTACTACTGTATACCGTCTGTTGCTGTACATATGCTCCTACTGTGTAATGTCTATATCTTTTAATGTATCATGCTTAAATGCTTATGCTTTGTTTCAGCTTTGTTAACTAAATAAATACTTTTTTGCTGTTCTCTCATTGCCTCTCATCAGAACAACTGCCAAGTATTTTTTTTCCCCATGATGAAAAAGCAAATTCCTACTAACCTCAGAACCAGGAAGGTTTTCTGGATCATAGAAGAACAGCTTGAAGCCATTGATATGACATCCGACCCAAATATCTCCAGTGTAAGGATCAACAGATATGTTATCAATTAGAGTGTCCAACTGTAGCACCTAAGAAACCAAGCAACATGAAGGAAAGCTTGTAACTGCAATACATACTGTTGGTCCCGGTCACACGGGCCGGAAAATGCGGGGGGGGGGAGCGTGGCTGTTTGCCCCGGAGCAAAATAACGTGCGGACGCCCGATCACACGTCCCGTCGAGGTCCTGTGGTTAGGGGGTGAGATGCCGATCACACGGCTATCCTGCAGAGCAGCAAAGAAGCAGTGTGGCGCGATCACACCAGCAATTGGTAGGCGTCACTTCCATGGCAGATGGGTTTTTTTAACCGAAGTTTGTGCGCATGCGCCGTTGGGCGCTTTTGCGCATCCTGCGGAGACTTGGGGGGGGGAACACCTTGTTTGCGATGGAACATCGGTGGGCACCGGATGCCATGAAATTCCACCGGAAACGCGATCAGACGCCTGCCCTTGCCCCGCGGTTTCCGGAAACCAGTACCTCATAAGTACTAGTTTTTTACTCTGCATCTTCAACAGAAAGCCACAAGTTAGCCATGGGAGCACTACGCTTCCCAGATGTTGCGGTGTGATCGCGCCCGGAAAATCCGCCTATCTTCCATATCTTTAGCGCGGCAACTGCTCCGTGTGAACAGGGCCATTGAACATAACTGCTTTCACCTATAGGAAGCATGCTTACTTGATGATATAAATTTCTTTCTCTCCCATACTGAAAGGAAGAAATTTGCTAGATCAGTGTTGGGGAGCGGCTGTGGCTCCGTTGTAGAGCATCTGCTTGGCATGCAGAAGACCCCTGGTTTTTTATTTATTTAATTTATTTATAAATTAGACTTCTGGAGCGCCCTCCCCTGTGAACAAGACTCAAGGATGTGAACAACAGATTAAATAAACATATAAATCAGATTAAACAATTAAAACAGTAAAAACAGTAAACAACACAAAAGCAATTTCAGATGGTGCTAAAATTAAGACAGATTGTGTCAATTCCCCTGTGAAGGGACAGAGAAAAAGGAGAAGCCAGGCTAGATGGATGTTCACTGTTGCTGTCCTCAATCATAAGCCTGGCAGAACATCTCTGCCTTACAGGCCCTGCGGAACTGCATTAGGTCCCTCAGGGCACAAATGTTATTCAGCAGAGAGTTCCATGAGGCTGGAGCAAGGGCCGAAAAAACCCTGGCTCTGGTTGAGGACAGCTGGATATTTTGGGGGCCAGGGATTGCCAGTAGGTTCTTCTCTCCAGAGCGTACTGCTCTTCGGGGGGAGGGAGGTATACCAGAAGTGGTGATCCCATAGGTACACTGGTCCCAGACCATTTAGGGCCTTGAAGGTAAGTACCAAAACCTTGAATCTGATCTGGTTTTCAACCTGGAGCCTTGCAGAGCACTGGTTGAATGTGTGCTGTCCATGGGGTTCCAGTATGAACATGCACCACTGCATTCTGGACCAGTTGTAATTTCCAGTCTCAAGGGTAGCCCTGCATAGAGCAAGTTACAGTAGTCTGCCTGAAGGTCACCATTGCATGGATTACTGTGGCTAGATCAGGGTGAGGCAAGAAGGGGGCCAGTTGCCTGACCTGGCGTAGCTGAAAACATGCCAGTATGGCAACATTAGAGATCTGGGCCTCCATCAATATGGGGGCATCCAGAAGCACACACAGGCTTTTGATGTTCAGTGTGAGTGTTAGGGGCACACCATCAAGAGCCGGGAGTTGGCACCCCAGTCCTGAATCTCCCCTACCCAGCCACAGAACCTCTGTCTTAGTCTCAGACTGGCTCTGTTTCAACAATCCCACCATGGCCTCCAGCCCCTCAGCCAATCCCTGGCATCTCCAGTTGAAATGGCCAGGTTGTAGGTGATGTGTAAGATCTCCACCAGAGACCCTGGAAAGCTTGGGCCAGTCTGAATAGCTTGATGGACCAATGGTCTGATTCAGTATACGGCAGCTTCATGTATTCCACATTACTGAAATCTACAAAAGCACTGACGTTGTCCTAACCTGGTCTTGGGTTCCTTTTTAGAGTGGGCCTATCAAAAAATGAGATCCTGCAAATGGGCAAAATCAGCAGCTGCACTCTCTGTGGTGGCCTACATAAGGTGATCAGTAATGTTCCCACACGTCTATCATTCCAGAGAATGTGGGGGGAAAGGAATGTTCAGGAGGGCTTTTAAATAAAGGGATTAGAACTGCAATACAATGGAACAGTCCTGAAAGACCCTTGTATAAGGGAACAGGATTGTAATCTATTGCATTGTTGATTGTGTGTATCATCTTGCTTTTATTGCACTTCTATACAGCATCCACATTTTTGTTTCAGACATAGGGCTGAATCCAAACAGTTTTTCTAATGGTGAAAAATAAAGAGGGGTCCCTTTTGCCCACCAAAAAGACTATGCTGAGCCTCATGAGACCTACATGGAGAAAAGCCATGTGGGATGGAAGGAGAGGGGGATTGGGTGACATTTGATGAAGAAGCTGACTGGATCCAACCTATACCCTGAATACCCAGATTATATTTTGTTCCAAATTGGCCAAAGCTTACCTTTAAAGGAGTTAAACTGAAATTGGCATGTTTTTGCAAGACATGAATGTTGTGATCCATTAAATCGGCAACATAGACATACCTTGAAAGGAATGGAAAGAAAAGATGTCTGAAAAATTCTAACTCCTTCCTTCTAGTTTTTATATATATATA